AATAAAATACATGATCATATGATAAAATAATTGATAAATAATTTTCTCTTTCAGAATCTTTAAAATTATATTAATATAAATTCTACACGTTTTACTATTTCTTAAATTAATTAATTTTTTAAATTAATAATAATAAAGATAACAAAAATAATAATAGAATTTTGTTAATATTATTCTTATAATGAAAAATGCAAAAATAATCAATTATTAAAATTAGTTTATGAAAAATATTTTTATAATTAATTGATATATATCAACAAGGTACAAGATGTTCACTTATAACATAAAAAGGGACATTGTAGACAAATATAATACTTTGAATATTTGAGCGTATAGGATTATTTTCAAATAAATACACATATTACATCACAAAGTCTCTTACTTAATCCATGATTATGAACTATGCCAGGTGTGTTGCAAATATATTCAAAACTTGAAATTATAAATATAGTTTACCGAAATATAAATATAAAAATTAAATATTAATAAAAAAAATATTCAAATAATTAAAAAATTTTAAATCTTTTAAATTATAGAATTATATTAATAAATATTCCATATATTGAAAAATTATTAATTTTAATATTATAAAACTTTTAATTAATAATTATAACTATAACTATTTATTTTTTGATTATCTATTATAATTAATACTGTTCAATCTGTAAAATAAGTGCACATAGATGAACTTGACGTGACTAGATTCATATATTCTGTAAGAACAGAAACTATCGTTTCTCTGTACAGTGATGCAAAAGGTCCTTGGCATTGCTGACAAAGTTAAACTATAATGAAATTCAACTGAAAGATTATTTTCATTATGATACTTAAATGGCAGGTGCAAATGTCATTTCGATCGCGAATATTTATACATACTATATAATGATTATGCAATCAATTGCATCAAACGGATATACATTATTCAGATATATATTTTACAATAAAAACTTAAAATCTTTTAGTAAAATTTTTTATTTTAATTTATTATTGTCTAATCGAATTCATTTGAAAAAAAAATTTATACTTGCAAAATTAAATTATTAAATTATTAAATAATTATTAAATAATATTAAATGCAAATAATTTTTTGTCTAAAATTAGTTGTAATAAAATTGCAAACTAAAGAATATTTAATTTTTTTATTATAATGCTATTCAATTAGATTATATTTATGTAATAGAGTAGAAATGTATATTTATGTATATTATGAATATTTTATTGAAAAAGTATATACTAAACTTTTGTTTAGAAAAGCTTTTTTGATAAAAGAAAAAAAGATAAAAGAATTTTTTAAAAAAAATTTTTCACTTCAGAGAAATAATATAAAATTTGAAAATAAAAATTTATTAGATTTATATATATGATTATTATAACAAAAATTAATTTTTTTCAAATTTTTTTCATCAAATATACTTCATGAAATATGAATTATTTCCGTATATATAGTGCAAAAATTATATCCAATCTAAAAAAAAAAAAAAAAGAAAATGGAAGAATATATTATTATTATTATTATTGCTATCTATATGCATTTTAACTCCTAAATTTTATTTGAAACTTCTATTGAAACTATCAACTTTCTTAAGATATAAAACGTATCGACAGCATTGAAGACAAACAGCATCAGGCAAAGAATGCAAACGTTCTTCCGAAGAAGAGACACTTGCATCGTTGTATCGCGGATGCGTTCTAGCACTGTTAGGGGAGAGACTGATCCGCGAATCTCCGACAAGTCTAATACCAGGTGGGGATGCAACACCCGCGATTTTCCGACTATATAAAGGCAGATGCACCGTGGATCCTTGGTGTCACGTATCACTCGTCGTTTAAGGACGAAGGGACAGAAGTCCAATTTACACGAAGAAGTTCTTGCCATGAAGACGGTGGGTTTCACAGTCAAATCTAAAAAAGAAGAAATCATAACATTAGGCGTCGCGTGAACGTTCCACATTTCCTCGCACAGATAGGGATCACCCGATGATTTCAGCCGCAGACTCCGAAATTTTTTTTTACGTAACAGTGAAAGTGAAGAGGACTGTGACATTTGTGTACGATGTTTCACGCACTGACGATTAATCATAATTTCGCTGCGCGACGATAACAGTTCATTGAGAATCTTGTATAAAATATGGAGATTCGAGTTAAATCGTTATACATTTCGTCGTTAAAATTGATGAATTTTTATATTGTGACATATAATCTTATATTTTTTGACTGTATGTGTGCGTTAAGGTAATATGACCATAATAATTTATAGTAATTTATAATTTATAAAAATAATAGTTTATAAAAATAGCGTTGTAAATAGTAGGAACATCTTCGAACATTAAAATCTTAAGGATCGCTATATTCTGGATCATTCGAATGTCAAAGAATTCATTCGAAAAATCTAAATTCCAATATGAAATAAAAAATTCTAGTTATATAATAAAGTTGAAACATCTTCAAGTGATGATGAACCTGGAATTGAATAAATTTGCTGAGTTTTGAGATTTATATTTTTAAAATATAAAATAATTGAATTGCAAGATATTTACAATATATATTTTTACATATATTATATATATTTATACATATATTACAATATATATTTTAACACATGATTGTATCAAAATAATACAATCAATTATTTTCAATCTGAAAAAAATGTAACTTAAATTATAAATTTTAAAAACTATACTTATAAATATAAAGTTATAGAAATATAATAATACTAACAAAAATTTAATACTTCCCCAAAATGAAAATCAAAAATAGTTAAATTATTATAAAATAATTAATCTTTCTTTATATACAGATCCTTATCTTCGTGACAGTAATAGTGGGAGCTTTTGCAGCGCCCCAAGGTAATCCAAATGAAATCACGATAATAAAGCAGGAAGAACAAAACAACATTGGAGTAGGTGGATATCACTTTAGTTATGAACAGAGCGATGGTCAAAAGAGGGAGGAAACTGCAGAATTAAAAAATGAGGGTACCGATGATGAATCCCTCGATGTTACTGGTAGCTTCTCCTTTACAGCACCCGATGGTCATACTTACAGGTAAAATATTAAAAATTAAAATATTAATTGAGGTTAAATTTACTTATTAAAAATATTAAATAAGAAGATATAAAAAATATTAAATATTTTCTTCTTATTATAAGAGCCAAATCACTAAAGACATATCAAAAATTGATTATTTGATTAAAGGGTTGATTACACCGCTGACAAGGATGGATTTCATCCCACCATCAATCTTGTTTCGAAATAAAAAAAATGTAAGATCTGAAATTATGCGCTAACCTTATATAGGACTTCCTGACTATCGATATACGCTAGTATAAGTGTATCGTATATGTTTAAATCGTATGGCACGCTATTCATTTCATTTAATATGCATGATCATTTTTTATGATATTATTTGTATAATTAATTTCTTTTGTTCATTTTTATATACTTAACTATCATGTTTATTTCTATGAACGTTAAATTTGCAATGTGAAAATAGTAATGTTAATAAAAAGAATGTACAAAATAAAATAATCGATTAATAATCGAATGCACTAAATATTTAAACTAAAGATTAAATTTAAAAAATAAATTATCAACAGATTTATACATTTTCTATCAATATTATATAGAATTCTATATTATATATATTATATAAAAAAATTAAATGAAAAATATATAATTAAAATAAAAAAATATTTATTATAATGTTTAATCTAATTTGAAATAAAAAAAAATAAATAGAATAGAAAATAAATGAAAATATTAATAAATATTTATTTACGTGATATAAATAATTATGACTTGATACTTCTAGTTGTGAAATGCGTGCCAATGAAAACAAATAAACAAATTATTTCACATATAGTTCTAAGAAACTACTGGTAAATATATTAAACGAGACGCTAGAAGTTCCAATCCATTTTTAGTGAAGCGACGACGAAGCATTCATTTACGCATTTTAAAATTTGCGTAAAAATGAGATTTTTTTTTACAATTATATTGTATGTATGTAATAAGATATGAATTGAGCAAATAAATATATATACAAATCAGTATGTGCATAATAATCTGCATAATAATCCCATAAATATGGATATGTAACAGAAACAATTAATTTTATTCAGGACAATTTTTTTTTCATAAATAAATTTTCAGAATTTATTGATAAATAAATAATAAATAAATGATAAATATGATAAATAAAAATATTGGGATTTATATTGGGATAAATATAAACATAAACATAATTTGATTTTTTTTATTTTAAATATTTAATTTTAACACTATAAAATAAAATTTTTATATAAAAAAGTAAAAAATATAAAAATTTAGATATAAAATTTATGATTTTTAAGCAATACTATCTTTTATAGCAAAAAAAGTATTTGTATATATGCATTTGTTATGGTTATATATTTGTTAGTAACGATTTTAATATACTATGATTTTGCTATTTACAATATTACATCATTTTAATACTATTATTAATAATATTATTTAATACTTTAATTATAAAGAAAATAATTAAAAATTTCAAAATATTCAAATAACCTACAAAAATTCTGATCATATTAATATTATAATTACATTAATTCATTAGAATGCATTAAATTTATAAATATTTTAAATTTTACATAATTCATAACATTTTAAAATTGTAGTAATTCAAACTTATGTATATTTTTCTATATTTTTTTGTTTTGCGTTTTGAAGATTAAATTATATAAAATCTCTTCGATTTTGTAAAACATTGAATCTTTCTCTTTCTTTCTCTCTTTACAAAAAAAAATGCTTCTTTTATATATATTTATTTTTATTAGAAGCATTTTTATTCAATTAAAATCTAATATATGATTATTTGTTATTAATTATATATTGAAATCGTGTTATATCCACAATAAAAAATAACTATTACAAACAATTAGTATTATTAATTTTTAGCAAAATATTTTTTTTCATGATTTATCATATTTATAATATATAAATTTTAAATATAGATAAACTATTTTTAATTAAAAATTAATTGCATTATTTAGTATACATAAGTATACATTATGTATAAATGTATACACGCATTATATTAATAATAAGCGTACTTCAATACGCTAAGATTTCTTTTTTTTTTTTTTATTATAAAACGAAAATTAGAATTTTTATAGAAATTATTATGATAATGTTGATGGTCCACCCCAAGCATGTATCAAATTTAATGTTTTATTAAGTTTAGAACACCATTCTAATCTATCTTCTTTTGTATCAGCTGATAAAAGATGCCTAAAAATAATTCAAGATCAATTAATTTTATAATGAAATAAAATTTAAAAATATAATACTTACCTAATTGTTGTAGTTGATCCATTTTTGACCATAATCAAACTATCAGTATCTTCAGATTCAGCAATTCTAATTGTTTCAAGTAGAAAGGTATTAGGACGCGCACAAATATCACGAGAAACTAATCCAACATTTGTTGTATTAACACCTATATACATAATGATGAGTTATATTTTAAATCATAACAAAATATATTTTAAATCACATTAAATATAAATATATAAAGATATAACAAAAATCATAATAATTACTTTGTAAATCTAAGCTTCCAATTGGAGTCTTTTTTCGTTCGTCATCAGGATATTTCCAATATGATAAATTAGAACCTTTGAGTAAACACCATCTACGATGCCAAGCACCAAAACCAGATATATCTTCAAACATTGTAAGAAATCCTCTATGTTCAACTGCTACCGAAAGTTCACATGAAACATGCATTTGTAATCGACCTTCCAGTGGGGATTGCGATGGTACCTATAAATTTTTAAGTATAATCTTTTTAATCCCTTACAACAACGAGTGAGACTCGTGGTAAGAAATTTGAGCCAAAAACTATAAGCACGAGCTTGACTCGAGGTACTTCATTCGAACCAAACGTAAACAACAGCTAACCTGACAAATGATCGAACTTCTGGTTTATTGTGATCCGAGAAATCGAGAATTAACGGGTAGGACAAAAGATTATCTTTATCAAATCTTTATCAATCAATTCATATATTTCATATATTTATTATATTATATTATATTATATTTACCTTATTCAACGTGAATTGTTGTCGATGTATCTCTTTCAAACTAAAAATAACATAACCAGATAGTTGAAAAGCTGGAGATCTAACAGCAGATGGTCCAGCTGGGCTTTGCACACTAGGTATCACCAATCGACTTTCTTGTTTTAAAAATTTTTTTGGTGTTTTATTCACCAACTGCAAAATATTTATAAATATTTAATAAAAATCTGTAATTATATAATATAAATATATAATAAAGTAAAATATGAATTTACCTTTTTATTACAATTATTGCTATTAATACTACTTCCATTACCATTATTAATATGATATTTGATTTCATGCGGTAACATTTCGGGTTGTGTTTGCAATGAATATATTTCAACAGTAATTTTAAAATCACTGTATAAATCATTTAATTTTAATGTTGATGGAAATCGAAGGCATGAATCACCAGGTTCTACTATAACTACTGGTGTAGCAACTATTTCTTCTAAATGTCGCATCAAACAAACAAAATGAAGACATGTATCTAGAATTGAAAATTAAAAAAAATAAATTTTTAAAATTTAAATATTATCTTTAATATTATCTAGGAATATTTTACTTACTTGTACCTATGTTACGAAAATAACCTTTTTTAAAAGGTAAAGTAATAGCAGAAACTGTTAGAGAACCACTTTCTTGTACTTCTGGTGATCCTGGACTAACAGGTTTTAAGGTACCTTCTACCTTTAATCGTTGAACTTCATTTAATGCAGCTTGCCGTCTATGAGCTATTAGAAAATGTTTTTAATTACTATATAACTCGTGAAAATACTTTTAATATAAAAATATATATAAAATTACTGGCAACAAGTAATAATCTTTCTCCTTCAACTTGTTCCCTGGAACCATTAAATTCTACAGTAGAAGTACATAAATTCAGTGCTTGACTAGCTTGACCAATAATCGTTTGCTGTTTGCATACTTCATCTAACAATCGTTTTATTTTTTCTTCTACCAAAACTATTTCATTTTTAACATTAAATTGTACATCAGAATAAGTATCAGTAGATTCCTGTGTTCTTGATATTATACGTACTGGTGTTTTTGGCGTCTAAAATCAATTTAATTTTAATTTTAATTTTACATTTCAAATTTAAAAAATTTAATTTTAATTTTAAAAATTACTATATATTTTTACTTAACTCACTTGAGATTGTTGTCGTCTATAAAAACTGACACTATGCATTAGTGGTACACAATTTTCTCCATCTACAATATATGGCTCATCTTTTTTAGGAGATGATGAAGAGATTTCTTTCATAGGTGAACGATATGATAATCTTAAAAAATAAAAAATAATTATTATTACAATTATCAAATTTATAAGTATTAAAATTATATGAGATATTTAATTTTTACATTTTTGTAACTTACCCTTCTCTATGTTTGAAATTTGAAGTTACTGATGCACTCTTACCACCTTTATTTAATTTGGGAGGAGTTGGTCCTTCTTCTGTATAAATATTTCCACTATGTATTTCTTGTTGTGCAAGACATTCATCTAAATATTCATCCATTTCATCTAATACTGAAATATCGGAAGTTGTACTATCTGGATCTGGATCAATTGATCTCTATAATTAATAATTAAAATATTAATTAAAATAATTAAAATATTACATATATATATATATTATGAAATATAAATTAATTAAAGCATAATATTAAGTAAAGCATATATTAGATTACAAACAACACAATTGTAAGAAAGTAAGATATTTTATTGTAGTTGATACTGCTGAATCAAAATATATTCTGTATTTTATATTAATTGTCTTTGACAATTTATCTTTGATAATTAATTGTTTTTTGAATGTTGCAAAAATTAAAAGTCTAAAATTCTTATATATAATTATTAAATTGAAATATATTATATATACTTTTTTGCTTAGAAAAGACTGTTCATTTACAGCACGTAAAATACTTCTACCAAGACTAGTATTCACATCTTCACTTTCTTCTTCACTTTCAGTCTCAATTCCATTATCCTACAAATTCAATGTATAACAGCTATAAAAATCATATGAAATATAATATTTTTAATTATAATATTATGTTTTATTATCAGTCATTCTTACATGTACATAATATTCAGCCTCTGTTCCAGTTTCTGTATCAGTTTTTTCATCTAAAGTAGCAGTTTCTGCTTCTGTACTATTGACAGTATATTCTGTATCTGTTTCTGTTGTATTTTCAATTTCAGAAAGATTAGGATAAAGATGTCCAGGTTTAGGTGGAGCAACACGAATACGTTTAATTTCAGATGCTACTTTTACTTGTTGTGTTTTTATTGGACTTCCTACAACTATTATATATAAAAAATTAAAATTAAATATACAAAAAATATCAAAATTATATATTATTATATGAATATTTACCTTGTCTTTTACTTGATTCGGAATTTTTATTTTGAATTGGAATTGATTTTTCATTAGAAACCTGTAATTGTGGAGGAGGTGGTGGAGGAGGTGGCACAGCATGATCCTATATATTTAATGCTTATTATCTTTTTTTTATGAATAAATTTAATAAAATAAAAATAAAATATCTACATACAGGCGCAGGTGTTGGTTTTACTGGACAAACTGGAGAATTTTTAGGTGAATTTGATTTTCCTTCACTACTTTCACTAGTTCTAATATATGAACCAGCAGCTGCTTGTGCCATTTCTTTATTCCTATTAAAACGGGAACGTAACATATCCAATTCACGTTGTCTTTCTAAATAAGTATTACGTAAAATATTATTTTCTAATTCTTGTATATTTAATCCTTGTTCAAATTTTTCTCGTTGAATATTAACATTAACAGCACTATTGGGAATATCAGTTTTAACTCGTTCCTTTACTATAACAAAATATTATATATAAGTTATATAATAACTAAACTATTATTTTTTAGTCACAATAATCCATATTTTTGTATTTATAATATAAAAAATACCTGTATTGTTTATATATGTTGATGAATTACTTTTATCTTTTTCTTGTAATTTTTTTGGTGGGATAGACATAGTAAGAGGTGCCTTAGGTAATAATGGTGCTTCTCCTTTATTTTTTTCAAAAAGTGCCATTCTTTCAGAAAGTGTCATTTGAATAGGATCTTTTACTTTTGCTTCTGTATTTTTAGATTCAAATAATGAAGCTTTGCTCAATACAGAACCTGGACTAGATTGAGTAGAATTTTTAGGAGAATTACCAACTCTAGGTGTTAATAGAGCATTATTTGTATTCAATATTGCATTTTTTGATATTTTTCCTGGAGTACTAGGATTTTTTATGTCGGTATGTTTTGAAAAATCTTCTATTTTCTTATTACGTTTTTCTTCGCGAACTATGGTAATAATTTCTTGACTTTGTGAAAGATGTTTTGGTGATGAATTTGGAGAATCTACATCTTTTCCTTGAGAACAAGCTTTATAATCATATATAAGACGATTATCGCTTTTTGTACGACTAAAACCTTGTGCTTCCTATAAATAATATTTTAATTTGGCAAATTTACTTATTTAGAATAAATTTTCATCTTCAATATAATTATTATATATAAAGATTGATAAAAACTGATTTAGAAAAACTTTATATATACAATAAAAAATTATATTTAAAATACTTACTAATGTTTCCAATATAGTTTTATCCCATTTTAATTGTTTTGTAGAACAAGATTCTTCTTTCTTAAAATAAATATCTTTACTGTTATTATTTCCTTTAATATACCCACTTGTGCTTGGTTGTGGTTCTAATATCTGTTGTGATTCTGAGGTAGATTTTACTTGCACATTCAATTTTATTTGTTTTTTATCTGTTTTATTATCTGATGATTTAGTCTATAAATTATTTATAATACCCATAATCAATTAATAAATTTATTTATTAACGTATATAAACTATTAGTTATTATTAATATTGGAACATACCAAAGTTGGATGTGAAAGATCATCTTCCCAGTTATTAATTGTTGAAGCAAGAGCTGCTAATCTATCAAGTCTAGCTCCTCTTTTAGATGGTTTCTGTTCAGTAACTTCTTCTTCTGCATTAAATTTTTCTTCAGTTCTATGAATTGGAGAACTCAATTCTCTGCTACTATCATCTAAAAAAAAGAATATATTATATTTCTTATAAATTAAACTTATAAATATTGTTTGATTTTATAAAAATAACAATATAAAATAATAATAACAAAGAAAATAATAAAGAAAGAAATAACATAAAAGTAAAACAATTATATTTTATATTTTATATATAATTATAATTATATATAATTATAATTATAACAAAACTTTTGTATTTATTAATCATATAGAAATGATATAGAATAAGATATATTAATATAAAATAGTGAAACAAACTAATTTGAATCAAACTATACTATGCAATGTAACTTACCAGAATACAGCTTACCAAGCCTTTGTAATTTTGCCTTTACATTATAAAGTCCAATTTCTCCATTTTCTTTATTTATATGCTCATTATTTTCATCAGTAGTACATTTAGATGTAGATTTTCGTGGAGATTTTATTGGAGATGTAACATCTATTGATATTTTGATAGGCGATTTAATTGGAGATTTGCTCTTAGCAACTAATAAAAAAATAATAATCTTAATATTTAATATATTTATATGTATTTATATTTATATTTATATATTAATGTATTTTATTTTATAATAATATTATATTTTATAAACATGAATAAATTTAATTTATTATTATTATTATTATATAATAATATAGATAAAAAAATTATTAATTTTAAATATTGTTACTTGTAGCTTGAGCTAAAATAGCATTTGCATCCTTCAAAGGACTACGCCTTTTTTTTACATCATGTCCAGCATTTGATAATTTAATATCTAATTTTTCCCTTCTTGACTTTGCTCGCTCCAACATTCGCTGTTTAGTTAAATCAATTTATTTTTATTCAAAATTATTTAATTAAAAATATTAATAAATAAAAATAAATAATTCATATAGTAATTATATATGATATATATATTAATAGTTATTATATATTATAATAAAAATATTATGATATTATCTCAATGAGTTTATTAAAATTTATATAAGATTGATTAAAATTTTATTAAATTATATAAAAGTAAAAAAATAAAAGATTTAAAATTTTCTTTTAAAAAATGAAAATAAAAAATAACGATAAAATAATAAAAACAAAAAAAAAATAGTGAATAAATGTTGATTAAAATTTTATTAACAAAAAAAATATTTTAAATATTAACCATAGATATTTTTTCAAATTCTACAAATACTTATTATCGTTATATTTGTGCGTTGCAATTAAAAGAGTCTTACCTGAGTGAATGCGTCCATGGTATATTAAACGATATTATTTTTATTTTAACCAATTCTTTATAATTATTTGTGCTGACAAATACAATATAATACTACTAAATAATTATCGTTTCAATGATACAGTTTTAACTCAAAGAAAATAATATAATATATGAAAAAACTTTCGAATAATTCAAACATGACAAGAAGCGTCATACAAAGATCAACCGAAAAATCTTCGTGGGATTGGAGCAACTGCAAAGCTATATATAAAACGTCATTAAACCTGTATTCAAAGAGGGGCAATGTACGTTTACATAGGTCAATTTGAAATGGGATGTTTTTATTGGTTAATGGAATAAGAAGTATTTTTTACAATAAATAAATATAATCTAATATAAAAATTAGTATTTTAAATTTGAAAAACAATTTTATATAAAATTAACTTATATTATTCTTTAGATATAAAAAATTTTAGATTCTTTAGATATCAAAAATTAATATTAAATAATACATAATAATTTATAAAAAAATATTTTTAAAAAATTATATATCATAATTTATTTAAAATAAATATTTTTATGTAATTAAAATTTCTAATAAATTTAAAAATAATTTTAGAAATTGAGAAATTGATATCTTTATTTTCGTGTAAAATATTATTTAAAATTACAGATATATTTAATCTATACAATTAGGAATGTATCAATTTTATGAATCTTTATTTTCAGACATGGGATGATTCATCACCAGTGTCAGCTGCCATAGCTTCACGATTTTCATATGCCCAAAATCCATGAAATTCTATTAAGATACTGACCATTGTATCACCCTGTCCACTAGAAAATATGAAATAAAATATAAAATAGATAATATAAATTACAAATCTTTGGTATTTTTTTAAAAATCATAATTTCAAAATTATAAATAAATTTATTATATACCATGATAATAAATCCTGTAATGTAATTTTACATGGATCTGCTGGTTTTACCATATCAAATATTTCATCTTTAACATCTTCAAAACTCACTGGTTCTTGACCATGCATTGTCATTTGTTCTTGTATAGCCTGAAAGATTTAAGTTTGAAAAATTGTATTAAAAAAAATTTTATACAAATATCTAGATTACATACATAATATTATGCAAATTAGCTAATACAAAATGTACATACACGAAAAAAGTAATTAAGACAAAAAGTATCCAAATAACCACGATTATTAATATCAAGAATTCTAAATAAGTAATGTAAGCTTTGAGGTTCATGTCGATTTTCTAATGCTAAAACAAAATCTAAATATGTTTTATAATCCATTTCTCCTTCATATGTTAAGCATTCTTGAAATACTCTTTCCAAAAATACTCCAGTTAATGTTCCTGTGCCATATCTATTAAAAACAATTTATTATGATTATAAATTAAATTTATAAGTTTTATCATTTTATTTAAATTACCCTGCAAGTTCTTCTTTATTAAGCATTCCATTATGATCTCTATCAAGATTTAAATATTGTCCATAAACTTTGAGAGCTGATGGAGCTGAAAACCAGTTTGCTTCTTGTAAGTCTTTGGGTAAATCTTCATCTCTTAATTCTAAGAGATCATCAAGAAAACTACATGCCAAAATATCTTGTATTCTAACTCTGCCAGTTCTAAGAGGATCAAGAAAAAATAAAAATTTTCTTACTGCTGTACAAACATAAAATGAATGAAACGATTTCTCAAGTCCTTCAAGTTGAGGTAATGTTGGTATTAATTCTAAAATATAGTTTTCTAAATCCTGTAAAAAACAAACAATAAAAATTGGATTTTGTTATCAATTGTAACAATTTATATTAACACAATATATTGACTGTATTATTTATAATAAATGAATATTTTGTATTATATTATATTTTTAATTAACAAACACTTTAAATAAAATTTGTTTAATAATATATATATATATAAATTACATAAATGCAAATTGCAAGAGTATGGATAGAATAAATACTGCATTATATATGATTTATAGAATATGGAAAATTTAAGACAGTGAACATTTTAATTAAAGTACTATATAATATATAATAATATTTACTGATTCTCTTAAATATCCTTGACCAGTAACATCATATAAGGAAAGTCCAATTCTTGTTTGGTGTAACCAAACTTTTCTCATAACATAGTTAAAAAGTGCCATTATACTAATTCTACCATGAGGATCACCTTGTTGTAATTTAGCAAATACAACTGCAGTAAAATATGGACTACATTTTGCACCAGCTAATTTACCAACTTTTTTAAAATCTTCATAATTAATTAATTGTTCTTCTCCTGATAAAGGTGGACTATGGTGTTTATCTAATAATACCCACAATGCTTTAAGTTCATTATTATCTAGTAATTGTCGTGAACGTCTTTGTAAAAATAATGCTCGTGTTTCTTCTCGTAATTTTTGTGGTAAAATTTCATCTTCTTTTGGTAACTGAAATAATGAGAATTATGAAAAAAATTGTTTTAAAATCTCATATATTTTGTATTTATATTACCTTAAAATAAAATTTAGGAATCACTTTATACGTTAAATCTTTATCTTTAGCTTTAGCGCCCTTCCATTGTTCATATATTTTTTGAAAATATTCATCTTCCTTTTTCTCATTTTCTTCCGATATTGTTTTTGCTACAATCATTATAATACTAATATTAAAATTATATTAAAAATAAGTAATTATTAATATATAAATACATTTATTACCTGTTGTACATTTTCGTAATATTGCCTCTAATTCCATTTGTTTCTCAAATAATTCGTAACTTATAACCTTAGATCATATAAAGATAAAATCATTTATATGATATACATGAACAAAATAATGATGAAAGTTTTTATTTTCAAAGCAATGTACAAATATTTATAAAATGCAATTTAATAATTTTTAAATCTGAAATATATATATATATTTTTTTTTACTATGCGTTGATTCTTATAATTTTAATAATATAATTTAATGCTTATTATAATATATTACAATATATATCTTGGAAATTTAAAAAAATTAAATTTGAAAATAAATTTGATAGCATTCAATTTGTAATTATATCAAATTTTTATAATTTATTTTAATAAAATTTAATTTAAAAAAATAATAAAAATAATATATAGATATTTAAAGAAAAATTATTTATTATATATTATTTATATATTATGTTATAATTATTAATTGCAAAATATAATAGTTGGTAAATTTACTTTTTATGTAAAGTATTTCAAGATGAGGTAAGTATGAAATATATATATATATCGCTCTCTGTTTCTACCACTTTTTTGTCGTTCTTTATAATTCTTCGTATATTACATTTGCATCATTATTAATAATAATTAATAATTATTCAAAAATTCATAGACAAATATGTAAGTTTATTTGTATATAACTATTTGTAATACGTATTCGATACATTGTGAATTATTTTTTGCTCATAAAATATCATTTTCTCTTTCTTTTTCAATTTGATTCGTGAATCTTTATATAAAAAAATGTGTCTATTAATTATATATTGTCTAAAATTGTAAAGTGTTACGCGTGCAAAATCTAATATCACAAATTTAATAGAAAAATAATTAACTAAATTTAACAAGAGTACGAAAGAGAAACATGTTTTGCAACACGATATAATAATAGATCGCCATTTATCTGATGATATTATATATATAGAATTACCAAATAATAGATAAATAATGTTAAATTTCATTTATGGGACTTGAATAATAATTTTTTCTTCTCACTCTTACCGGATCATTCTCGTTAGAAAAAGTTAAAAAAAGAAAAGTAACAATTGTTTGAAAAGTAACAAATCGATTGCAAAATTAATAAATATTTTAATAATTATTCTTAAATACACATCCCTTTATTTTGAAAATACAACTTTTTCAAATTCGGACAGATAACTTTTTTTTATTTAATATATAAACTAATAAACTAATAAATACTATTCTTCACACATTAGTTTCCCTTCTATTATTTCATAGCATAGAATTTGTATTTCTTTTAGTAAAACTGTGTAATTATATAATATAAATATATGTATAAATTGTAAATTACAATAGTAATTATTACATAGATAAACAAGTACAAATTATTCACAAAAATTAATTCATAAAATAAGTATGTATAAATATTACTGATTATTTTATATGTATATATTTATTACATATAAATTTATTCAAATAATTTAATTTTTCATATTTAAATTTTATATTTTTATAATTTATTAAAATTATTCTAAATTTAATTAAGTAATACAATTTACAAATTTTTATTTTTTTAAACTAAATTTTTTAAATTATTGCATCTTTAATTCCAAAATCTTGAAAAATTATTTTATTTTCGTTTATTTCATTACAAAAAGGATTTCCTTCAAACGTTATTTCTTCTAAATTTTTTAATAATAATAAATATTGTATTTCAATTTTATTCTGAAATATAATATTACTCATTATTATTCAATATTTATTCAATATATTTAATAAATTACTTACTGTTAAACAATTATGAGCAATATATAATTTTTGTAATTTTTGTAATGGTTTTATAAATTCCAATGATTTTATTTTATTATATTCAAGAGATAAAAACTTCAAATTATTATTTTCAATAAAATCTTCTACATTTAATAATTCAATTGCATTGTAATCCAAAGTTAGATATTCCAGTGTAGAACAATGAGTTATTTCTGAATATTTCATATAAATTTATAAAAAATAATGAATTTCATATAATTATGAAATTGTATTACATATTAATATAAATATATATATATAATAATATAAAATACTACCATTTATATTCTGAAGATAATTATTGTTTAAAAATAGATGTTTTATTACTGGTAATTTTTGTTTAGTAATACTCATTACTGATTTAATGCAATTATGATCTAAAAATAAAGTGTATAATTTTGGGAATGTATAATTATTTTTTTCATAATTATTTCCATTAAATGTTTCAAGACAATTATAACTTAAACATAATGTGCGTAAATATTTAAAAGAATGAAGACCGCATAAATAAGTTATTCGATTTTTACTTAAATCTAAACTTTCTAACAGTGGTAGAAATTCTGCTGAAAGATCCACCTAATACATAGAAGAATTTAATAAATGAATATTATAAAATTGACAATATGTTTTAATTAATAACATACTTTTGATAAAGAACAATCAACTAGACTCAGTTGTGTAATATTTGTTAAGTGATCTGTTGCATATATTGCATTTAACATATGTTTATCAAATTTATTACCAAATATACATCTTGCCTCAGAAATATCAGAATTTCGTACATATTCTCCAGAAATATACTACTAGTAATATTATAATCATATGCATTCATATAATTTTTAACTATTTTTTATAAATAATTCAAAATAATTAAAGATTTTACTTACTTCAATATTAGTTAAATGAAATATGATAAATTTTTTATATAATTCATCTGTACTTATAGGATTATTACAAAAATCTATAACATGCAATGTTTGCCAAGTTTTAATATTTTCTATTTGTGCTATGTTCCTTATTTTATTATTCCCACAATAAAATTCTTGTAAGGTATAAAATGTTCCCATTGATTCTAAATTTGTTATTAGATTATTAGTCAAATCTAAATATTTTAATGTTGGAAAATTATCTTGAGTAAAATTATCTAGCACTGAAATAAAATTATTTCCAAGATTTAGTTTGATCAGATGTTTTAAAGGTTTTATAGAAGGAAATGTAGGCAATAAACAACAAGTAGCACAAAATTCTTGCACATTTCTTGCTCTTTTCAAAATGTTTAATGCTACAGTAAAATTATGTGATATATGAATGTATTTTGCTTGTTCTATATTTTTTTTTTCTAGTAATTTTAATCCTTCTATATTTTTTAATATACTTTGTTTTAAATAAATTAACTTGTTACGTCGTTTGTTATTTAATTTACACATACCAAATGCACAAGGAAAATAAATTTGAGGAAAATTAAGATTTTCACATTTATAATTATTAATAAACTGTAATTTTGGTAAATTTATATGTAATAAATGTTCAATTAATTGTGGATCAATAACATCATCAAAAGGATTATTATATATCTTCAGTTTATACATGTTAGGTATATAAGTTGTAAAAATATTAATACATTCAAAACAATACATTAACATGTTCCATGATATGTCTAGTTCTTTTAGCATAGATAAAGTTTTTTTAATATGTAATAATTTTATGTTATTAAAACTTATATTTAATATTTGTACGTTTTTTATAAAATCTGAATTTGGAAATTCATTTAATTGATTGTAAGAGATATCAAATTCTTTTAAGTTAGGCAAATTTAAATCTATATCTATTGCATTTATCTTCTGTCCAGAAATACATATTCTTACAAGATTATATATTCCAATTTTTTTATCAATATTAATATATTGCATAATATTAGAATTAGATAAACATATAAATGTAGTGTCATCTGTTGTACATGTAGTTACGGGATTTTTATGTTCTTCTTCCTATAAAGTATTTATAAATTTTTTGTAAATGAAATTTTGAATATCATAAAAAATATATTAAAGATATTGTAATGATAAAAATTATTACTTTTTTTAATTCATAGAATATATATTCATACTCTATTACAAATATAGGATTTTTTATATTTGTATTCATCATTTTAAATACCTGACAAATTTCATTTGAATTGTTTTCATAATTTCTATGTTTTATATGTAAACAATCATATACATTATCTACTCTATATGAAAATATAAATTTTTATATTTTTATAATGGAAAAAGTAATATTAAAATAATATATAAATATTATAATTATTACTTTTCAATAGAGTTAGAAATTGGTGTTTGTATGAGCACACAAACACGGCTTCTTTCATAAATATTGTAAAGATTTAGAGCATTGTTATTTTTCTTTTTAGGAAATACTTTATTCAACCAATTGCAATCTGCTGCTGCTAAACAATTAGTTACTGTTATTTCTTCCTATTAATTAAAATATTTATTTTAGAATTTATTTTTTAAAAGAAGTGAAATTTTATTATATAATTATAAATAAAGAAATATAAATACTTTACTAAATAAGTCATTTTGAAGAAAGGTAAAAGACCATTTCTGAATGTCTGTTATTCCGGGTATAGCTAAAATTCTTAAAATCATGTTGCATTCATCCGATTGTAAACTTTTATTTTTGGTAATATTGAACAAGTCAATTTCTTTACTACTTATTTTTGTTACCTTATGTAATCTTAAATCTGTTATACCTATGCCACTGTTTAAAATGAAAAAATTATTATAAATATTTTATAGTTTAAAAATTTCCACTATTGTAATTGAAAATATACTTTACATACTTTTTTATAACTGAACACAATGATGCTTGTAAAAATTGTTTACATAATTGAATAACTGTGTTTTCTGAAGTAGTATTATATTCAACAAAATTTATATTCCCACAATAATTTATATTAAGTAACAATTGTTGTTGCAAAATCTGATATATAAATAGCATTAGCATTGAATTACCAAAAGTAATTCACTTTAGATAATTTAAAAAAAACAATAATTAAGTCATTATTATACTTTAGATTGCAAGATTAGATTTTCTCCCATTTCCTTGATTTGTTTTTTGTTTAATTTCATTTGCAATATTATATTTTGCGATTCATCATATGCTCTATATTTTAAATACTTTTCATCATTCTTTATAATAAACAAAAAATAATTAATAACTTACTAATAATTAAAATAATTATATTACACTATATAATACCTTAAGTATTTTTTCCATTCCAATTGTATATAATTGATTTTTAAAATAATGCATATTTTTTTTATATTCCCTATATTTAT